CATTCGTATTCTGAGGGTGGATGCGCACCTTCGCGTACGATCGCGCTGGCGAACCTCCCTCTCTTTCATCGACGTTATTAAGAATGCTATGGATACACTTCGCCGTGATACACTTTCGTTCGATCATTTTTAGGTCTCGCGTCGAGGAGATGTATAGATTCAGAAAGTACAGCGATATTATATTTTCTGTGATATACGCAAATTATGTTATATTATAAGATATATTATAATAAATATCAAAAGTTGAAATAATAAAATAAAAATCAATTGAAATATCTGGAAAATAATAAATTAGAATATAATTATAAATGCCACACAATTTCCATGGTTAATTAATAACATTTAAGTAATGTAAAGAATTAGAAAAAAATTTTAAGATTTTAAGATTTTAAAGAGCCTATACAGCAGAAACATTGCAATATTGCATAGTGGTTGCTGAATCATTGTTACAAAATTCCAACAATGTTAAGATATTTGTTATATTGCAATGTAATGTATTTGGATAAACTTTTTTATGAAGACTCTAAAATGAAAACTACATATATCTCATTTCTACACATATCTCACTAATTTTAATTTTTCTATAAATCGCATTTCTAATGATATGTACTTTCCAAAAGCAATTTTTTATGATAAAACCATAAAATATTCCAATAAATATAGTATTAATTCTGAAGGATAAATTTATTCGTAAGGATAAAGCATGTGTGCCCCGAACAAACTACAAATATTATCCACATTAATATAATAATACAGTCGTTTGATAAGTTAATCATGGATTAATTGCAGTGATTCTTTTTAATTCGAAACTACTCCGAGTGAATTGAAATCGATTAAAAAATAACCGTATGAAATTTATTAATAAAGTTCGGGCGCTAGTTTATTCTTGCGTTCACAAGTATAAATACATCATCGATCATATAATTAATATTTCGATATTAATAAATCATTTTCAGCAGTTTAATTACTTATCATCTTATTCGATAATAATGCATTGATTGTATTCAAACACGATATTAATCTTTTAATTTCATATTTAAAATAAATATAAAATTTAGCTAATGAAATGGCCGTCAAATAATAGATCAATAAATTTTTTATTTAAATATAAAATGAATTATATTAATAAATATAAAAAAATATGCGTGTTTTCACGCATACAGAATATTTTTTTGATTGCTTAAAATGCTTGAATTAATTTTCTC